ACTAGCACCCTAAATGTCCCTAGGACAAAACCTAGGTTTTTGATTGCTCTTATTTAGCATAATGCCTGAAATATTCTTATTTAATACATTACATTTAAATGATATTGTGCAAGCCTAGTACGAAATTAAATACAGGTTTGATTTTTTGTTATTATGCTCTTCATAGGAATAAGACATTCTTCCAAAATGTTTTGTAGCAGAATAACATTGACATCATTCTGACCTGGAAGGTACCAAATAATGTATGGTTTCTTCACACTTCAGTGAAAAAAACAAAACAAAAACCAAGGCCTTCTGTGCCTCAGATTTTTGCATACTCAGCATCCAGAGAGTTGTCATTATCTGACACAGGTGAGACTATTTCCTTCCCCATGCCCACCTCCCTGGGGAAAGTGTGACAGCCCCAAGATTTTACCTCTTTAAGCAATCACCTGTGAAGCTTGGACATAGCTGTGAGAGAAAGTTGTTTGTTTTACTCAGTTGGAAATCTACCTAATTGAAGAATGGCCTTAAGCTATCAGACAAGGAGAAAGAGCTTGTGGAGAAACTACCACTCATCAGGATCACTAGGCTAAGAAAGTGCAGGAACCTTGAATTCTCTGCAGTTAAAGATGTTCCTGTCCCAAGCTCCAGAGTTGAAGTTGCAGAAGTAATCAAAAACTAGGCTCTCTAAAAGGCTCAGCAGGAATCCATCATGGGACCTAAAAGCACCCACAAAATGGCTCAAGTCAGGCCCAGCTGAAGAACTCACTGAGCCTCAGCATCCTAGGCACCTGCCTCCTCAAGTATTTTGTCTCTCCCTCTCCTTCCTCCTGCTTCAAATCAAGAGAAGCTATCTAGGAAAGATGACACATACTCCATCTATCACCCTAAAACCTCCAGTACTAGTTTTCTATGGCTATGTAACTACCACAAATTTAGCACCCTAAGACCACTAGTTCATAACATGGCAGCTCCAATATCCAGGGACAGGAGTTTCCTGCTTCCAGCTCAAAACCTGAACTCAAGTTGCTGGCCAGACTGAATTCTTGTTGGGTGGTGCTAGGGAAGACTCCACTCCTGAACTGTTGCCATTGTTGATTGAATGCAGTTCCCTGCACTTACAGGATTAAGTGCTTGTTTCCTTGCTAGTGTTAGTCACAGCACTCATAGGCCACCTGCATCCTTGCCACATGATCCTCTCTTAAACTGGCAGTGGAGACTCACGCCTTGAATTTCTCTCAGGATAAATCTGTCTTCTCCATCACGGAACTCTGGGTGCAGATTTAGTTGTCTGAATTCAGTGTCAACATTCAGTGTTAGAATCTTTACTACTTCTGCAAATCCTTTCACAAGACCACCTTGACTCTTGATTTCTTGAATAATTAGAGAAAGATGTGTATATGCCCGAGAACAGAAAAGGTTCTTTTATTATTATACCTAAAATATTTCTCTACCTGCCCTTAGCTGTAGGAGCAGCAACTCTAACCTTCCCTAGGAAGAGCTTTGGGTTCAACACGAGACTAAATGTTTAGTGGAAATGAACCTGTTTTAATAACTGGCAATGAAAAAAATTCGATTATATAGGACTTTAATATCATTAAGGAAGCCAGATCTATTAAGAAAGTCAGCAGGTTGGTCAAGGGAGCATCATAGTAGCAGTTATTAGAAACCAATAAAATTATTTCTTATTTAATATATTTACAAGTTAAGCCTCCCAAAAAATTAGTACCCATGATTGGAATAAAATCACACAATAAAGCAATCTATCATAATTGATAGGTCTTGCCACATCTTATCACTGTAATGTATGTGATAACCACATGGGATGGGCACTATCATTCTAGACAAGAGGCAGACTTGGGGCTTAAACCCAAGTCTGTCTAGATTTGAATCTCATGATATTAATACTCATACAATTGGCCGCGCTTAAGTAACCATGGTATTTTTGCTCCAGCTGACACACGAGGAAACCTGCTTAGTCATGAAGCAAAATGTTTATAAACAAAGATTTGAATATTTTCACAATCAAATCATACTCTATCTCCTCCAATAATTCCCACAGCTCAGTATATAGAACATGATTAAGGTTCTAAGTATGTGTTAATTCTTCTTCCAAGACAGGTGATTCTTTACAGTTTAAAAGACCTGTAACAGGCCTTACCAACCATAACATCATGAAACATAGAGCCTTTCAGAGGAGGACAAATGACAGATCGGCTGTGTGCAGCAATAAGGGGTGGTGAGGACCAAGGTGAAGTGGAAAATACATGCCTTGTTCAGAACAAACTCTGCTGTGCTCAACATCTCTATTGTGGAATGCTGGTTTAGTCTTGCTAGATTTACTGATTCTTCGAAACACATTGACTCACGCCTTGAGATATGAGTTGCAATTCAAGATCTCCCAAGCATTATACTTTGACTAATGCTTTTTAAAAAGGAGCCCTCTGCCAAATAAACAAAGAAATAAAACTATAATCAGATTAAACTCAGAGCCCATTAGTGTCTTATAATATTGTCCAGTTCTTCATATTGTTAATGATAAACTTAATCTGTGTGTATGTGGGGAGAAAAGAACAGGGTTTTGAATCTTAATGATTAAGACAATTTGTATTGCTAATGTTAAAAACCCTAATTGGTATAATTGAATTCCAGCTGATGTAATGGAACAAAATTCAGAGAGATTTATAACTACAGGTGAAGTCTGACTCTTTCCTTTACTGAGGTTATTTCTTTCCTCTCTAACTCAAAGCTATGGATTCTGTTTGTTATTTTTTCTTCAGACTCTGTGAGTTTGGGGGCAGATATAGGTCTCCTCACATAATCACACCTGGCTGTGGCCCTATCATAGTCCTGATTTGTTTTTTTCTAAATTGGAGTAAATTTCATTATCCTTTATTGGATTTTATGTCCAACTATTTACTATTATTTGAGTTCAACTAATGTTCAACCCTAGAACAAGTAAGAAGTAAATCCTTTTCAAACCTCGTGGATAGGAATGGATATGAATAAATTATGAACAAAATGGTAATAGAAAACAAATACTACATTTAATACAGTGTTAATCCTTTCTAGTCTCAGGATTTTATATCTAAAAATAATTAATGAAATGTTTCTTGCCGTCTCAGCTCTCTTCACGAACTCCATTCATTCTCCAATGATATGAATCACTTGTACTTAAATGACTGAATTTAAATATGTGGAACATCTCTACTCTCTGTGCATTATTTGAACTCCACTCTTCCAGGAATCTTCCATTCCATCTACTTTATCGTTCAAAGTTATTCAGTGCAAAATATAGAAAACAATCCTTGCTAACCTAAACCAAATATAAACATACTAAAAACATTTCTGCACACTCACAGAATTGAGCTATTGGGAGAAGAACAATGAACCAGGAAATAGAGATCAAAGAAAATAGTAGGGACTACCATGTCACACCATGTCACACATTCCTTTTCCAGATTCCCCAGTATGATGCTTCTGCACCTGCTGCTGAATGTAAAGATCATGGGTGAATCCTAAGCTGTCTCTTCTTATTTGTGTCATATGCTCCAAATTCTTCAAATTTAAAGTGTTGGACACCCAGTTGGCCACATGTATTGTACATCAGATGCCCTTGTGCCACTTAACAAATGAGAAGCAAAATGATCTGGCTTTTATGGTAGAGAATGCCCCCAATAAGAAGGGGCTAATAATGGGTGACATTTTAAAAATGGCAAATTCTCCCAATCCTAGTGTTTTGTTAAGCTTCCCAAAACAGCTGCCAGTTCAACATAACAAAGTCTATTCTCATTCCTATCACCTCCAAAGGCACCAAGTTTTCCTTTAAAGTATCCAAAGCATAGGCTAACTGATCACTTTGTGGCAATATTAAAGAGTTCAGGAATCACAGGGCTAAGCAAACAAAATGGCTTTTTAAATCTCATTAATCTAAATATTTTCAGCTAATGAAAATCTGGAAGCATGTCCTTTATCCCTATTTATAGATGCTGCTTTCTTTTTTTCAGTGTGTGTTTCTAAGTATCAAGGAGCAAAAAAGCTCAGGGCATCACAGGTTTGATTGGAGGAGGCTAAACCGATCCTGTGTTAATGTCCTTTTCAAGATGCCCCTGAGCCTGCCCGCTGCTGGATACTTGGCACAAGGTTTAAAGGGGCTGTGTGTCACAGTGGATTTCAAGATTATATCCACAATTTGCCACCCAACTCCTCTTTAGTCTGGTTCCCTTCTGTGGTTAACTTCTTAAATGCCATCTGGGCCCTGATTTCTTTGATCATTTCTGACGGCCTACAGGCAGTGTTTATGAACACTTTCTCCTACAGGCACAGGGTCCGTCATATAATCAGGAACCCTTGCTGTAGGGTGGCCACTTTGGCTTTCTTTCATTTCTCCTTTGCCAGGGCCTTTTCTTAAGCTAGTGATTGACAAACCAGAATGTGTCTCAAATCTCTTGGCATCTTGCTAAAACAGATTGCTGCCCCCAGCCCTGGCTTTTGGCTCAGTTGACCCGAATTGGCCCAGGAATTTACATGCCTTATGAATTTCTAGGTGATACTAATATCCTGCCTCTGGGCTAGGAACTGAATTTTAAGACCTACTGGTTTCTGCTAAACATGAGCTCACACTCTTACTTCCTCATATTAAAAAACACCTTCTTGTAGGGTTATGCAGCTCAGGTACGTTCCTCTCAATACAGTTTGATATTCTCTCATTTAGATAATAAGAAAGGCTATTTCTTTATCACTCAGAAAAGCCTGTATTTGCACATAAAAATATAAGCTTTTAGGCAGTGTCACCAAGGAGGTATTTTTTCAGGGAATAAAGTGAATTCCTTTACTATAATTTGGATCTGAAATGTCCCCCAAAGTTTATATGTTAAAGTAATAGTTCCCAGCTTTCTGCTGTTGAAAAATGGTAGAAGCTTCAAGAGGTGGACCAAGTGGGAGTTTTAGGTCATGGGGGTGTGATCTTGAGAGGGACTCTGTCACCCTGGCCTTTTCTTCTTTTGTTCCTTAACTAGGATTAAACAGATTTGCAAGGCTACATACTCCAGCCAGGAAGTGCTACCTATAGCTTCAGCCTTACAAAACAACTGACCATGGGCTGGACCTCCAAAACTGAGCCAAAATAAGCATTCCTTCTTCATAAATTATCTCAAGAATTTGTTGCAGATGGAAAGTTGAGTAATACAATCTTTTCGCGATGCTTCCCATAACTTCACTTCCAGTTCTAGATTCACCACTGTTGTATATTTTATGATACAAATATGTTTCTATTCATTTTCTCAACATTGTCTAGTTTTTCTTATAAGGAATGGTAAACAATGAAAGTATTTTCAAAGATTTTTCTTGGATTTCTTAAAATTTGAAAGGCAAGCATGATTTACTTATGTAATGTGACAGCAAATTGAATAGGTCAGTGATTATTTAAATAGCATAAATTATTGTTTCTCAGTTTTACTTCCTTTGTTAAACACAATTTGAATCTATGAAAACAAAAAAGGAAAGAAAAGGAAAAATTTACCAAATATCAGGTGAAACACCTGCCAAACAGTCATAAATGTTGGATGCAAATTTATTCACTTAAGGGCTGGGGGTTTAGCTCAGTGGCATAAGTATCTGCCTGGCAAGCATGAGGTCATGAGTTCGATCCCCAGTAATGCCAAAAAAAAATATATATATATATTCACTTAAGTATTTAAAATGTGTTTTCCTTTTTTATGTTTTTGTTTACATAACATCTGACTCTGTAAAAGCAAAAGCACACTTTTCTTGTCAAATTTTCAAAATAAAGGCTCTAAATTGACCATAAATGAAAAGAAAGACTTTGTTTATTAGCAGACCAGATTCAGGTTTGAGAGTATAATTATGCATGAATATCTTTCAATTATCTTAACTCCCTTCATCATAGTATTTAGTCATGGAAGTGCAATGAAATTTTTAGTGCAATATTCATGTTATTTAAAATTCTATCTTTTAGAATTAATTCCTTCTGCTTTGCAGTTTCCTTCTCTTTCCAACTCCAGCGTCTGGAGATCTTACCATAGAGTTCATAATGCACCCATGAATTAAGTCAGTTCTCTGAATAATTAACCATGACTACATACAGTATAAAGTTTCAAAATTGTTTTGTTCCTTTTCGCTTCTTTTTTATGAATATATAAAGTAAATTTTTTTTATAATTCAGAAAATGTCTTCAGATGTTATAAGACTGGAACTCATGAAGATCAAGTATTTCTTTCAATTCTGGCTTTCATATAAATCACTCATATTTCATTTGTTAGATTTCTAGTTTCTTCTGCATTAAACCAACATATGATTTCATATGTCTGTGGCTCTTATAAGCTTAATGCTATTGAGAGCAGTCCAAGTTTTTAAAACATTATAATGTATGTGGCTATATTGACAAATCAACCTCCTTCTTATTGAATCAGCTTACTATATCTGATTCTGTCCACTTTAGAATGCTAATTTGAGTAAACACAATTTACCGACAAGCTCTGCAATTAGGGCCTCTTGGAGTTAGGCTTATAAAGAAAAACAAAGCCACTAGTAAAATTCAGAAGAAGATCATATTTTGCAAAATGTTATTCAATTATGTATATGAGTTGGGTATGATGTTGGAAGACCTGGAATGGTGCACTGATTTATTACCTCAGTGACACTGAGCATGCCACATCCCAGAAAATTGCTATGATATGCAAAATAGAGATAAAACTTGCTCTAGCCTATTTTGGTATGTTGTTATTAATAATAATTGGTAATAAATATAAAAGACTTTTGTCAGTTATGGAGTGTTACACAGATGAGAGATGTACTCTATTCATTTATACAGCAGGCATATTGATTAATTTTGAATGATTTCAGGTCACTCTTTTTTTAGAGTTTTGGCTTAATACATATTCCTGACATCCTATTGTACTCAGGGAAAAGCTGCTGTTTTCATTAGTAATAAACCAAAATGTGTAATCAAACTGCATGAATTGGCATTGTAAAACCAATTCAGAAAGACATGTTCTGCCATTTCAAAAGGATGTTTATCCTTGGATTTTAAGAGGTAAAGTTATTTTGGTCTTTTATCTTTAGAGTACTTCCATTTTTTTAATTCTTTTTAAAGTTAAGACTCATGGAACAATAAAAAAAAATGTACAATTGGTAATGGTATTTTCCTAGATGATGCAAGAAATCAGTTCAGGAGAAAGTTCTTTAATGTAAAAATTCCTAAGTGTTAATAGATCATGAAAATCAGCAACAACTGTTGTGCTGAGGATCATGATCTCCAAGTAGAGGGCAGATAATTCCCCAGAGATGAAAAGAGTGCGTCTGGTGTTTGAGCTGCGGCCACATTTAACTTTCATGTCCTTTCGAGACCAGACACACTTTGTGGAAGAAGAAAGTTAATGCAGCTGCCTTTGCTAATCAGTCAATATGACCCAGCCCCTTGGGGAGGAAAGCAGAGGCGGCCACGCTGGGAGACCCAGCAGCCTTGCTGATTAACAGCGAATGCTGGTAAAGTACCCTCTAAGTCTGTCTGCTCCATCAGGCCTAAAAATGTAATTTAGATGATTATCTCTGTGCCCATTAAACTTGGTGACCTATTATAGTTCGTTTGAAGTTGGCCTGCTTACACTTGTTAATAAGAAGAAAAGAAGGATTAACTCAGAGGTCATGAAAGCAGAGTGTAGCCAGATGATGGCAAAAGCACAAGTGCACATAGCAAACCCTCCTCTGCCCTTGCAGGAAAGAGGAAGAACCCAAACAGTAAGGGGCTGTCAACACAATTCATTGCTTTATGGAAAAAAGGAGCTCTTTGAATGCTTAGCAGGACTGAATTTTTCACCTTCCACTTTCAGGGTGCTTTGATTAATTCTTAAGCATCACATTCTAACAAGGTGGAGAGTCATGTTCAAGATCCCAAGACCATTGAAAGCGTTTACAGCATAAAGTCAGTTTGAGAAACTTTCGGAAGGTTATAGAGGCACTATCTGAATGTGTGGACTGTTTTGTGTTTTGTATGGGGTGTAAGGTATGAAAGAACGTACTAGAATGCATTAGTTTTGGTTCACTTTCAAGAGTTTTTAAAGTGGCAAGAGCTGAGCTCAGCTGCTAAGGTCATCAGTTGACTCAGCCGTGCTCCGCAGAGTCGCTCATTGTGGGCATACACGGTGGACACACAGTAACAGTATTTCTTACTGGTCAGAATTGGAACCTGCTGAGAAAGGTGGTCTAGTAAAACTGTTTAGAAGCTGACAGCTTTACCTACTTGATATTTCACTTTTAAAAACTTAAAATGATTTTTTATACAAATCTTTTTGTGCCAAGAAACAAAGAAACAAAGGATAAAAAAGTTTTATCTTTTGAGACAGGATCTAAATTACCCCAGCTGCCTCAGACTCGTCCTGCCTCAGCCTCACAAGAAACTGGGACTACAGGGATGACAACCACTACACCTGGTTTTATTTTGCAGTTTTTAAGAAGTTGGTGAAAATGTCTTAATATTTCCAAATTAGTCCATCCCATCCAAAAGATCAAAAATGCATTGTTCTAAATTTTATCACATAAACTAATGTTAACTTTTTAAATTCCCCTCTTTTGTATTCTCCTATCTGAGAGACTGTCCAGCACATGATAAATATTCAATAAATACTTGCTGAATGAATAAGTGTGTTCATTAATCTATGGCAAGTATACCAAGAGAGAAAGAGTGGTGGCTATGGTGACCCTCTTTCCCTGCATTTAGAATAATAGTGTTGAGATGTAGTTTTTCCCAGGCATTTGTAAACTGATTTTTGAATTAATATCTAATTCAATCATTTTACCTTAAAATCATTGTGTTTGAAATTTATTTTTCATAGTACAGATGGCACCACTGAAGCAGCTGAATGTATTTATATCTATGGGAGAAAATCACTTCCTTCTTTGGCCTCAACAGACCCTTTTACACCAGCCGCACCCTAGTGATACTCTGTTTACTTGCATATCCCTCTGATGTATTCCTGCCTTGTCTTAGTATCCCTGGAACTTCTCAAAGTGTAATGTGGAAGGCCGATACCCAGTGAATATTTGTTGATTGAGTACATGGCTGTTGAAGAATAAATCCACATGACAAATCTGCTTAGCTTCTAGAATAATGAATTCACATGTCTCCTATCAGATTCCCTATACTCAGTAGCATCAGACTCATTACAGAAAATCCATGGTTTTCACATTTCTCTGTTGCTGTAACCATGTTCTTATATCTCTTTGAGCCCTAATTCTGCCATTTACAGCTGATCATTATGAGCCCTTCTCATTTTGCCCCAGTCTGTTTGGCAAAAATTGTCTTTTGTGTTTCTCTATATAAATGTAGGTCTTTTAATTCATTATAACTTTACGTGCTTACTAAGTCAATAAATATAAGTAAGCAATTGTAATATATATGATACAAAACACAGTGCCGAACAAAAATAAATAGTCAATAAAAGTTAACATCATTATTATGATATACAATAACAGTGCTGGGAAATAGGTATGATTTCCATCTTGAGCTCAGTCTAGACAGAAAACCAAGTGCTTAATAGGTAATAATACTACATTAAACTAAATGTAACTGTCATAAGTACTATGATTGAGAAATAGAAAGTCCTAGAAGAAATAAGTTTTCATCCTTCATAAAATTTAGTAGATCAGAGTTTTAAGGCTCTCAGTTTCCTCTATTGTCAACAAAGGAAGTTTTTTCAATAATCGTTCAATAATTTGTAAATTATTGATTATATAATTTCTAATTTACTCAGTAAATGTTAACATATCTCCACCATTTAAATTTAGAAAAATCTCTAGTTGTATGTGCCAAAACATACAATTACTCAAACTTAAATTCTTGTTTTTCTTCAATATATCTTCATGTATTTTCCAGTGGACAGAATTTATTTTAATACATAGTAGTTAGCAGGTAATTTCTTACTGTTATGGTTTTTTGTTTTGTTTTGTTTTGTAGTTCTGTATTGCGTGTACCCTTACGCCGCTTTGGTTTGTTTTGTGTTTTTATCTTTTTTCCTCTTAAATAAAAAAAAAAAATACATAGTAGAAATAATATGTTAGACTATCAAATGAGAAATATAATGTCCAAAGTCAGATAAACCCATAAACTTAATGATTACTTATATGATCAATTAGCTAGAAAATATTTTTAATTAAAAAGAGTTGCAGTTTTGGCCTCCGAATAGTTTTCATGAATTCTGAAAATATTATTTGAAAAATACAATCTATTTGTACTTTCTTTATGAATTTTATTTAATAAAAAATGCTCTGGAAGTATAGCCCCTTTTCTAAAGTCTAAGATCCATATTCATTGAATCTTATAGTTCTATAGGAAAGAGACTAATAGCCCCATCTCACAGATATGGAAACAAAACACTTAAGTGTGATGAGTCAAATTTGCCTTACTGTGGCAAAATATCTGAGAATAAATCTTGGAATCAAGCTTTATTTTAACTCATGGTTGCAGAGGCCCTTGAACTCTGGGCCCTGTCCCTCTAAGCCTGAGGTGAGGTGATGCATCATGATGGGGAGGTCATGATAGAGCCACGGTGCTAGAGCTCATGAATGCCAGGAAGCAAACAAGGGCCGAGATCCCAGTTCCTCTCCAAGCGCCCCTCCCTTACGACTCACCGCCCACCTCTTCCACCACTTCCCAAGAGCACCACTGACTGGTGCCAAGGCTTCAGCCTTTGGGGAACATTCCAGGTCCAAACTACAACAGTATCTCATTACACAGGGTGGTGGAGCAGGGCAGGCAGCTTTGTTCCAGAGCCCTGCATCTCAGCCAGTCTTCTATTCTTCCTCAGATAAAATACATCAAGGTTGTGATTGAAATAACACTGTTGTTTCTTGAATTCCAATGTGAGAGCTTCAAGAGAATTCCAAAACTGAAGTTGAGTTATCTGTAACATATAGAAAGAACTTTTAAGTCTAAATAAAATTTGAATTAATGACCAGCGTATTTTGAAAATAACCAGCAGGGCACGGCTTTTTTCCACCATAAGAGGGTAACAGAGGAAGGCTGAGGCTGACACCTGAGCGGCCAGTGAAGACAAAAGAAGCTCAGACAACAAATGAGTTTGTCAGGCAGCTGGGCCCGGGATATGACTCTTGTTTTTCAGAAAGTGATGGCAGCGGGAGTCTAAGAAGCAGCAAACTGACTTGAGGTAGTGGCTTCTTCTGCCAGCCAGTCTGGAATGAAGGGTACTTCGTAATTTAACTGGGCAGACAAGTGTGAATTATTCAGAGAATTAGTCCAGTGCCATCAGGACCCTGGTCACAGAGAGAGCACTAGAGAAATAAGTGGAGGGCTTTACATACAAAAAGGGAAAAGTGAAAAATAAAGTACTCTTGAAATAATTTGAATTTCACAAATAATAGTAGCACAATATTATAGATAATATTATAAATGATATAAGCGTAACAGGAAGCAAATCTTACTAACATTGAGAGGGAAATAGCTATAAAGATAACCTTGAAGTTAAAACAGTTATAGGGACCATTGCTACCTTTTTCTCATTGTTTTTTGTTTTGTTTTGTTTTGCTTTGCTTTCTTTGATTTTGTCATTTGCTTTTTAAAAAGGTGTTTTACAGGGAGCCAGCAGCTTTGGTAATACCACATGTGGCATATTAAGGGAAAGATCATTTTTGGAGTATCACATTTAGTTTTGGTTTACACATTACTAAAAATGTATAAAGCAATTGGATGTAGTTCAGAGAAGAGCAGGAAAAACCATTAAGAGAATGAAAGGACTGATTTATTAGCTATGATTAAAGAAACTAATTATGTCCAGAAGGAAAGGAGAGGAGTAAGACAGCAGTTTACAAGTATCTGAAAGGTGCAAACTCCTGGAGTGAGACGTTTTGATCTGTATAACAAGAAGTATACTTTGTCAAACATATTTGAGTTAGAAAGAAAATTGCTACGTAAAAAAAAAAGAAAATTGCTACTTAATGCATTTATGCAGACAGTATGATGAGCCCCTTCAATATCTTTTGTACATTTTCTCTGCACATAGACTCTCATTTTGAAAAGGACCAGAGTTATCAGAAATAAAAGATGTTATTTATATTATAGAGATTTATGCAGTCCTTGGAAAGGAAGCATCTATGATAATAGTGACCAGAAGTGCTCCAAAGAATACAAAGATTTATAGCTATAGGATAAATCTGTCACATTTTGACTTATAGCTAATTCATTTTACTACCTAGGAAGCCAGAGTATTCTGGCAACAGGATACTTGATTAAAGTGGCAAAGGCTACTAGCAGCGTCCATGTTCTGAATCTTTGGTTTGTTTTCTGGCTTCGGCTCATTCTTTTTCATAAAAGTACCACTAAGATTTAGACACAATAAAACTGCATTCTTTTCTAGCAATTTTTATTTTAGTAACATGGCTGCCTAGTTAGGGAGATGCAGGTTACTTTTTGGCTCTGTCATTTGATAGCATCTGAAAATATGAAAAATAAGATTTTACTTCCCTCAAAAACCAGGAAACAACACGTCAGTGTCAGTGTGCGTGCATGTGTGCCTGTGTGAGCCTGTGTGGGTTGGTGTGTGCCAACTAGTCCAGCACACGGGAAGTGCTTAGTTGATACTAGCTGCCCTCGCTCATTCGTCCTTCTCTGTCCATCATTATAGTCTTCATTCTGTACAGTTTCCTGATGTTGGCAAGCTTCATATATTTCAGAGAAGTAGAAAATGCTAGTTTTTTTGTGAAAATTTTCTGAATTTATTTAAAATATTTAAATAGCCAAAAAAGCTCATATATAGACCCTATATTTGCCTCAGGTAATTCATTTCATAAAGAGTATTAGAAATGTAATGTCTGAGATATTTGACTAATGTCATAAACACTCTTTAGAAAGACTAAAAAGTTAAAACCAGCATTTATTGTAAATAAATAAAAATTTTCAAATCAGCTGAAACAGTTCAGTGGTCAGTTTTTTCCAATGTATCGTCTGTACACAGTGTGTGTGTGCAAGTTAGCAGCTGTCTTCTCTGAAGGAGTAGGGCTGAAGGCCTTTCCCTCACTTTTTTGAATGAAGTCACTGAGAAGAGTTGATGCAGCAAATGGTAAAAGAGGGGAGACAGCCTCTGAAGCAACCCCACCAAGTGTTTCATGGCCACATGGCCGAATGCAAACACATGTAGAAGAATCCTAGCCTCTGACTTCCTGGAGGAATAAACATTTGGTCAGAAATTAAATTTCATTTCAGATTTAAGATGTTATGTATTTCTAGATCTCCTGTGTTATCTATGCTAATCACACCCATGATAATTTTGGCTACTGGACAAAGCTGTTTTGTGGGGGCAGAAAGAGAGTTGGGAGCTGCTTGATCAAGAATATCCCCTGCAACAACATTGGATGACAAATTTTTAATGTGCAAAGGTAACTGTGCAGAAGCATGGACAGGGCCATGCTAGATGCCTTTGTTTTAATGGGGTGGGAGGGAGAATGAAAAAGTGGAGGTGCACAGCGAGGGTAGAGCTAAGGCAATAAATAAAACAGGCAAAATGATGACTGAGGGGGAATGGTGGCTCCAGTGGATACAAAGGGAGAGCTAGAGAAAATTAAGACGATCCGAGTTAGTTAGGGTGTTAGAGATCATCCAATTATAGAGAAAATTAAGATGATCCTAGTTAGTTAGGATGTTAGAGATCATCCATTATAGAGAAAATTAAGATGATCCTAGTTAGGATGTTAGAGATCATCCATTGTAGAGAAAATTAAGATGTTCACTGGACAACTTGAGATTTTATGGTGCAGGTGGGTCAGGTAGTAGAATTATTAGGAGCTAATTAAAATCTGAAAGAGAAAGTTGACATTGGGGATGGAGATGTTATTGGTATACAAAGATAGCTCAGTCTGTAATGCCAGATGAATACCTAAAGTGTCTTGAGAAACGAAGCCCAAGGAGAGAACCACTGGGAGGACAGGAAAAGGAAGGAGCCAGCTCATGTAAAAAGTCAGCGGCATTGGAGGAGAGCCCAGGAAGGAGATCCATGTTGTAGGATGCTGTGGAAGCCCAGCCTAAAAGACGTAAAAACAAAGTAATCTGTGGAGCCAGAGTCTGCAGAAAAGTGTTTTGGGTTAGACCATTAATTAACCTGTTGGCCTACTTAGTTATAGTGTTAGAGATCATCCAATGAACTCTTCTCTAGAACAGCACAGAAGCTAGTTTAGAAGGATAAGAAAGGACTAAGAAGGAATATACACATGAGTGAGAAAGTATAAATATATGTGTGTATATATACATATATGTGAATACATATATAGATCTATTCTCTATCTATAAATAAAGATATATAGATATAGATATAGATATAGATATAGATCTATTCTCTAGCTATAAATATAGACATAGAGTATATGTAGATATATAAGAATCGATTTATCTATCTGTGAGTCTTGGCAGTGAATAAAGCTGAGAATGATGGTCAGAGTCAGATCAAGCAATGAATGTCAGAAAGCACCCAACTTAACATAGACCTGTATGTTGTAATGTATATGAGTAATAAATTTGTAGAATAGGGAATATTATTATCTGAAAATGAGTTTATGTCATAGATCTTGCTACTGACACATTAGTGTACAGAATGGAATATTTCTGGTACCTTTTTAAGAACAATACAGAAAGTTTTTTCACGTGTTAATTCCTGTAAGGCTTTAATTATGAAATAATTCTATTAGATGTGTCTTTTTCCTTGTATAAGTGAATTAAAGTGTGCACAAATGAGTACTAGCTCAATAATAATGACTTTAAACTCAACATAGCTTTTATAGTTAGTTTCTTGATCACTCTGTGTTAAAGGTTGTTGTTGTTTAGAGCTGGTCTCCTGTAAGAAGGGAGTGCCTTTAAATTAGTATAATAAGAAATCAGATTAATTGTCTGCAGTGAACATTACATATTTTAAATTATTCACAGTGTACTGATACTTGTCCTGGACAAAAGAAGCTGGCAAAAGAAGCTAACCATGGTACACTGGGTTCTGCATTACCCACTGACAACCCACATTTCACATTTAGAGCACAAAACTGATTTGTGGCTGTGATTTTATGTTAATTGTATGACTTTGCCAGTTATCACAACCTTTGGCTATGCTATCAATGTATAGGATTCATTGCATTTTCAGAATTCTAGAATCATATCAGATACAATTGTCACATATGGTTCAGAAGATGCCCAGGATCCTTCCAAATACATCCCCAAGAACACTGGTCCTGGCACACTAAGGCACACAACACATGTGTGTGATGACTCTCATACTTCCTGTTCGGTTTTCCTGGGAGTGGATAATCGCACTGCAGAAGACACAACTGCTTCCAGCTAATAGTCTTTCTTTTAAAGTCAACATATGAATGGCTTCTCTAGCTATGAGAAGTATGTTTGTGAAAATATCAACATCGAAATGGAAAGACACAATATGTCAGCAAGCTCGATTTTCTTCCAGGACTCTGAAGTTCTTTGATTTTGTCTGTTATGCATTGGAAGCAATAGGATAATAAAATCCTAAAATAATTATTTTAATGCATTGTGAAATTCTTGACAAGATCTGGAATTTCATGGGATGCTTCCTATGTAACTCTCTTCTCCATTCCCCGCCCCAGCCTCTCTACTGTTTGGTCTGCTATTATAAGACTGAGATTTATAGCAACCTCCTACTGTGCAACAGAAAAGTAAAGGGGAAAAAAGGCAGCTGAAGGTGCTCTTTATGATAAAACAGGATGTCATCTGTAGATCTTGCATCTTTCACAAATATTTATCATTAGGCCCATTCTATAAATGTAGAAAATAAAGCAGAGTGTTTGGGTCACATTTTGAAGGTTATATAACCTAGTGGGTGACTGAACTGGGATATGATTTTCAAATAACTGTAAGTAAAGAGTATTGAGTGGATATATTAATTGATGGTACTTTAACCTCACAACCCTAAATTTTGTATTATGTTTGGTGGCCCAGGAAAAGGCTGGTATCTGTAAATTCAAAAGCCAAACACATTCTGAAATAAATATAGGAAACTATTTTGAGACACCATTTACCAGTCTGTCAGCTGTGTATACATGCTCATTTCCTTCAAAAAAAAAAATAAATAAAGCAATCAGACTGATCCAGTCTATTAAATTTGTTATTTTGGACTGTTTGAATCAATAAAACCACTACACCATGTACAGTAAAATTATCATATGTCAACCCGCGCTAGACATTTCAATGATGCACTGATATTACACTTTTCAGATGCACTGATATTACACTTCCTGAAATAAAACTTCATGTAAAATTCATAAAAATAATGCCAGAATGTAGGTAATTTATGCTGAGATATATTTCATTAAAAACTGACCAGCTCTTAGCAAAAACAAAGAAACTCATTCAGTAGAGACAATAACTGGTCATAGTAAGCAGTGAAGTAACAATTGAGTACTTTTCCTTCCGTTCCTGTTTTCAGGGTTTTTGTGTGTGTTGTTGGTTTTTTGGGTTTTTTTGTTTTTTGCCTTTTTGAGACAGGCTCTCTCTATGCAGTTCTGCCTGACTTTGAACTCACTTTGTAACCCAGGCTGGTCTCAATCTCCTGATCCTTCTGCTTCAGCTTTCC